CCATATTGAAAATGTATTATAAAAATAAAAAAATGTAGTTTCAAACAAATTATCCTGTATTAAGGTTTGATTTTGTAAGTGTAGTATTTTTATTGCTTTTTCCTTCCCCCTCTTATAATAGTCATATTTTTGCCAATTCTTAATCGATTTGTGATTTTTATACCTCATTTAAAAGGTAATGAAACGTAGACATTTTCTGATTATTTTGTATGAAAAATTTGTATGCGACATTTTCTAGTAAACTGAAGCTTTTGAAATGAACGAAGATTTTTTCAACAAAAATCGAACTATTTTGAAGCTTACTGCATGAGATAACGTCAATAATGTACATTTGAGTATCAATTTTCGTATTTTAGAATATTTTTATTGTAAAACCAAACAAAAATCAAATGAAACACCCAATTTTCAAGTTTTATGACTTGGTTAACGTATAAAGGGCGTTAATTTTACAAAATCTTAAAAATTAGTATAATTCGAAAACGGCTAATCTTCGGACAGTAGTTCCTATAGTAAAATCGACTCAGATTGGCTTGTACTATCTCCCCCCACCAGCTCCGCATCTATTTTCCCGTCACCCTGTGTATGCCACAAATTATTAAAATCGGATAAACATACGTAGGTGCTCACCTTTTTCTGTCATTCGGTATATGATAGAGGAGCTCTATATAGTTTGGTATGTAGAGGCCGAAGATTCATCATACCTGAGTGAACCTATCTAATCACGATTCGATTTCGCCTTTTGAAACGACTTGATACATCCCTTTTCTTTTCATCCCCATTTTTGAGAGAGGTTACAAGATGTCTTACAACTTTTAAGAAAAAAATCCTTAGTATGTTTAGCCAACAAACCTGCTTGGCAGTGCAACTCCGGCTCAAATATCAGAACTCGGCACCGTATGCCGACATAGGAAGAAAAAACTTTTTCCATCACGCCAAAAATTCCTCATACATTTCGTAAAACGCTAACAAAAACTTCGCCGGCTTTCTCTAAGCGAACGAGGCAAGGCGACAGTCTAAGTTGAGGGTTGAAAGTTGGGAGTTGCCGGCACAGCAGCCGTAGAGTATTTTCTTATGTGAAAGCACACACATTACCGTTTCCACTTTGATCTAAATAGAAGCGGTTGCTCTCTCGCTTCCAAGAACTATACGAGGCATGGGCTGGATAGTACGGGTGATTCAACTTGAAAATGGATAGTTAGAACATGGATTAATTTTTTTTCGTTGTACTCGTAGCATCTCTAATTCTAAATGAAACAGAAAAATGGCGTCAATTCCGGCTGGCGAAGTGTCAAAATCTTTATCATCATCTTCTACAAAGGTTGGCGAAAGGAAGAAGAAATCCGCGACCGGCTCAAAGAAGAGCGGAACAGTAACTAAGAGGGATAGCGGAGCGAAATCCGCAATCAGGGTATCTCCGAAGGCTAAGAAACCGTCAGTAGCCGATGCAGCCGAGAAGAAAGCTTTTCCAGCTAAGACTAAGAAAAGAGCAAAATCGGAGACGTCTTCTGCTGCACTTCCCGCAGCGCCTGCAAAAAATCTCCCTTGAATGCGATGAAGTCCAGCAAATGAGCTCCACCCAAGTAGCTCAAAGAACCAAAACCGAAAACTTTGCCTCTACAAAAAATAAGAAATAAAAAAGGTATAGACATCTTGCAATGACGTACATTACGATTACGTCGGTTTGCGCCCCGCAGATTGGAAATGGCCCTTTTCAGTGCCACCATCTTCTCCTGAAAGAAAAAAGAAATGTTCTGCCTTAGGAATTTTATATCTTAATAGATACAACAGAGGCTCGTGCGTTAATGCTTTTTAAAAATAATTCGAGTACGCTTCACCTCTGAGAAAAAGGAGTTGGTTACGAACATGACCATAAAACAGGTCCATAAAATTAGTCGATAGGCATTTTCTCCCTTCCCTACTCATAATTCCATCCATCTGGCAAAGTCGCCTTTTCCTGATAGCTGACGGCGTATCAGACAAGGCAGCGCAGCGCAGTACCAGTCATGTCAGCACTCTAAGAAAGACCGGTACGTCCGCTTCCAAATCCGAGTAATACTTTCCAAGTTATATTTGGGCCAAGGGTTTGCAGATAAACCGACAGACAGACCGACAAACCAACAGACAGACAGAGTGACGGAAATAAGGGACATGGTTTTTCGTGACTGCTTTCCGTGTAGGCCTAGAAAGGGTGGTACATTCCAAATGTACTATCTTTTCTGGGTGAGCATAGAAAAAAACAGTTATATAATTGGCTACCCTGAACGTGGGACTTTTGGCATTTTTCTCCGTCACCACTCACCGATTTCCAAGAACTACAAAGCTGTTTCGTCCTTCAGATAGAAGTAACCCGGTGTTTATTTCTCTATGTGCATAGGAGAGCATTTTTACGAAGTTTCAAGTAAATTAATTTAAAAAAAAATACGTCAAGTAGCTTGAGTCTGCGCTTCTTACGCAACACCGTTATCAGTTCATAGTTATGCTCACTAAAAAGTAGACCCTACGAGAAACAAGTCAGTCAAACAGGTGCTTACAATTAATCCATAGACGTTCTTTCCTTGTCCTACCGGAAGTGCAAAAAGGAATGGATTTTTTGGAGACGTGCTAGAGATATTGAGTCAAGAAATGGAAAATAAACTAAATCGCAATAAGTGATTTTGGACATTACCAAAGATTCACACAATCTTTTTTTTTTAATTGTAAAGTCAAGAAATTGTTTATTAAGATATAATTGGCGTAAATTTGAAAAACAACTCTTACTGATATTATTTACATGTTTACATATTTAGACATTCGTCTAAAGTGACGCCTAAGTTTTTTACTAACTCACTTACTTCTATAGTCTCACCATTCAATTTTACTTTAAAATTTCTTTTGGCATCGCTTCTAAACAGTTTTGGTGAAAAAATAATGACTTTAGATTTAAAAGGGTTCAACTGTGAATCGACGGCAAAGAATTGGATAGTATAATATTTAACAACTGCATGGAGATCAAAAGTATACAAAATGAATAGGAGTACAGACCCTTGAGGCACTCCGGAGGAAGTGAGGCACTTTGGAGATAGAACTATGTCAATGTGTGCCCTTTGATATCGATTTCCTAAGAAACTCTGAATCAGTTTTAGGCAGAATCAGAAAAACCAAAATATTTACACCTTGTTACTAGGAGACGATGATTTATGGTATCGAGAAGTCAAGAAGAACTAATGATGTGGTGATCTGTTGATCCCAGGTTCTAACAATGTTATCGGTTCAGTCTAGTAGGGCGCCTGCAGTGTTATATCCTTTTCGATAACCGCATTGTTTGGGAGGCAAAATTTTATGTTTAAGGAGATAATCGTACATTTGGGCATACATTGCTTTTTCTAATAATTTGGACAAAACGGCTAAAATACTAATTGGTCTTAAATCAGAAAAATAATTTTGGTTTACTTATTTCAGCTACAGGTAACACTAATGCTGCTTTCCATGAATCTGGAAAGAATCCCCTTTCTAAACAAATTTTTATCATGTCTAAAATGTGACCTGAAATCACAAAAGAGCATAGTTTCACACGCCATCGAATGTACTAACATCAAAAAATTGAGATAAACTCTCTACCCCCCCCCTCCTACAACCACCACTCTAAAGCTTTTTTACCAATAAAATATTTTTAAAAAATGATCAGTAAATAAAAAAGAAGTTTGAGCGATTTTTGATCCATTTCGTTTTTGCCACTTTTCTCCGACGTACTGGAGCAATTTTCAAAAACTACAAAGCTTTTGCATCCTTGGCATTGTAGTAAAATTGCGAGTATAGGCTTTCATAAGATTAGCGCACAGACTGACAAACAGACAGACCGATCGAAATGAGTAACATGGTTTTTCGTGATGAACATGTCAAATACCATCCAAAAAGCATTAGGTATATCTCATTTTTGAAAATTTTCGCAATTACAATACTTCCATGCCAGGAGGCCTGGGAAGTAATAAAAGGTGCATCCCATATATCACCTTTTTAGGGGATGAATCACCTGGTCTAACCACCTTTTTGGTAGTTGGCGACACGATCTCTTCGATGCAAAATTAAAAATTCCTCGTTCTCGGGACGTCGAATTAAATATTCAGATGCCTTCACGGTACACCGACAGTAAAGACTCTTTGTTGACGAAACTTGATAGAAAGTGAGAGGAACTTTTTCATTTTTACAAACTTTGAGGTGCTTATGTTTGCTGTAGTACACGGTAGATGATGAAGTAATACTATGGTAGCTTTACTAGGTTGAAATAATTGCTTATTGCTGGTTCTGGAGATGTGGAATACTGGGGATGCTTCCAATAACAATAATAATCGACCTTAGGCAAAGAAAACTGTTTACCTCGGCGAAAGGCTCACTGCTGACTTTACCAGACATGTAATCGAGAGCGAATGGCATAGCATTAGACCAGTGGTCGCGAACCTTTTCAGTGTGTTGAGCTACTTTGATAATTTTGGAATAAACAGTGAGCTACCTAGTCGTAAGCAATGTACGTCAACTTATACTAATGCATACTAATAAACTTAAACAAACTAATGACTAATACATACATAACTACATCCGTTCCTACCAATCGCAGGTGTTTGAACAATAAACAAAGTTATTCGTCAGCTACAATGGCATGTCACATACGATTTTATAAAGGTAACTAAAAATAAAAAAGGCAACGCACTATTTTAAACAAAAACGTGTATACGAGTAGATAAAAAATGCATGTTCAATGTCAAGCCTGGCACTCAGACTCACTGACAATTTTTTCAATGTTTGGAGTATAATTTGATGCCGCATACAATTATCCAAATGTTCATCTGTATGTCGAATACAGTATTTGTTTTTAATAAACTTCATATTTGAAAAAGGATATTCACACAAATAGGTTGAAGTTACTAACGCTTTCACTTTCAAGGCAACACGACATAAAACTGAATATTTAGCTTTATTACTGAGACTAATGATTTTAGAGCTAAATCGTTTTGAAACGCAATCACTTCCATTTCTGTCGCGCGATATCTTCGCCAAAATTCTGCGTAACAGAAGTTGCAAACTGTTGGATCTCAATTTCCATGAAGGGTGAAACAACAAGTTGCACCACTATAGCAATTTCGCTGAAATCCTTGAAACGATTTTTGAAGTTATCATTTAAGCTAGAGACTTTTTCTACATGATATTTACTGCATATGGTTAGAATGGATATCTTTTCTGAAAGAGCAGGAAAATACCTGGTATCGCCATCGATTAAGCTTTGTTCCCAAAACTCAAGCTTTTTGATAATCGTTTTTATATCAGAAATCACTTCTGACAGTTCTTTGTCTCTCCCCTGAACCTGTAAATTAAATTCATTTAATTTTTCTGTAATATCCGCACTAAAACCAAAATCTCTAAGCCAGATTTAATTTTCTAGTCCCGGAATCGGTTCATGTTGTTTGAAAAATTGAACTTTGGCAGATATGATATCATTAAAACGTTTCAGCACTCGTCCCCTACTTAACCATCGGAGTTCAGAGTGAAGAAGTAGTTTCCCGTATTGACAGTCAATTTCATCTGCCAAGGTGTTAATAATCTTCTTTGTAACGCTTGAGCTCTAATCTTGTTCACAATTCTTACTACCAATTTCATAACGTTGTTTAGTTTTAGAAAATGTCCACATAATGCTTGCTGATGGATAATGCAGTGGTAACAGAGAAATTGCAGAAAACTTTCATCTTTACGACATAACCCCACGAGACCCTTATCACGACCGACCATAGCTGGAGCGCCATCGGTTGTCAAGCCTACCATTTTCGATATTAGAATTTTCTCAGAAGATACTATATTTTTACAAGAAGAAGACAATTCCTTCCCAGTAGTCTGTCCTTTTAGTGGAATAAACTTTAAAAGATCTTCTTTAATCGTAAAATTACTAAAAACCATCCTGACGAACACGGCCATCTGAGAGGTGCCAACGACATCTGTGGATTCATCCAGCTGCACTGAAAAATAAGCACAGTTATCGGAGTTATTTCTTAACTGTAAAACTATATCATTGCTCATTACTTCTACTTGTCCCATCACTGTATTAGCAGAAAGTTGCATAGATTTTATAGCAGACACTATCTCGTCTTTATTTCTAAAGTTGGCAAGTAATGAATCCGCAGCTTCTAAAAACGCCTATTTTATCATTTCCACGTCTTCATAAAGTTTCTTCTATTCTGTAGTTATCTGGGACACCCGGTATGATGCTTCAGTTGTAGCCTTACTTTTATCGATTGTTTTTAAAAACCATTGTCTGTTGTCCTATTAACTGATTTTTTAATTGTTTCAGTTTTTTCGTCCTGGCTGCAGAACGTAATGGGAATGATGTTTCAAAATTCAAATGTACAGTTTTATAGTGCCTCTCCCTTTTGTAGCAACGGAAACATATGTACTAGATAACAAACATACATTTTTACCTTTAACTTCTGTAAAGAAATATTGTTCTTCCCATTCCGAAATGGTATGTCTTCATCTTCTTACTACTGCTCATAATGTGTTTAATCGCAGGCCAACTCTAACTCAACCGCTGGACTTTGTGCTGTTCAGTTTTAAACTGAGCGCACTGTCGCCGCGCCTTGCATATTTATTCCGTTCAAAGTAATTGAGATCGTTCGCGAACAGATCGCTCACCGCAGTGTTGCTGCTGATTGTGTTTATTATGAGAATTTACAAAATTTACGGAAGTTTCTCTGATTTTTACACCTGTTTAAAATATGTTGTGAGCCAGAAGAATTGCCTTTGCGAGCTACCAGTAGCTACCGGTACCCAGCTGGGTACCACTGCATTAAACCATACTAGTGACAATGCATATAAAAGGTTTCTCCTATCCAGAAAATGGCGTCAAGTAGGTTAACTCTGTACTTACTAGGCATTAAGTTCAGCGCAATTTAATTTCTCTGAAAAAAATAACTGCGAACATGTAGACAGGGAAGCAAGTCCATAAAATTAATCCACTGAAGTAGTATTTCTCGTGTTTCAGATACAAAACAATGCACTTGCAATATTTTAGTCGAAGATTGCATAACAATTAAATGGTGTGTTGCGTCAACAATTCTGGGTAGGCTTTCGCGTTTTTGGGAGGGTCTTTGGTTTAAGCTCATACTCGCTTATCGTTATTGAGGGCTGGACGTCCTTTTTTGGGAACGGCGAACCTGCGCTATGCTGGTTTTGCGCGGTGCTATCCTAAGATCCCAGCATGTTACGAGACTTCCAGACTATTGCTATTGCAGTAACACGCTGTAGAGGAATGTGATATTGAAAAGAAAAAGCAAACGAACTGTCACGTGAAATACAGATTAACCAAATATATTGTCATTGTACTGAAGAAACTCGCCTTTGCGATTGAAACGTCCTTTTCCTAATCTGCGCGACAGCACCCACCGCGACACCGCTGCTGAGGGTCATCGTTAATCCCGCGTATACAGTGTGTCCCAATATTCCATGAACATAGAAGTACCACGCATTTTTAGACTCAAAATGATTCGATTGTACATGATTACCTCTATGCCAAAGTGCTTCGTTTGCCCACTAGAGGGCGTCAAGGTTTTTTTTTAAAACATTGTTTCAGATATTTTTCGAACCACCCCTACATAAATTATGGTAGAATTTTTTCGCAACTCTTCGAACCACCGTGATTTGTTTTTTATTTAAAAGATTTTCTACTTCATTTTTTGTCTGTTATAAATTTATAGTATACCAGAAAAATGTATTTCGAGGGTGATTTCTAAAAAAATGTCTTATAACATTGAATGTTAGAATCTGGTAGGGATCTAGTTGGACGAAATGAGGGATGTTGTTTCAGTGTCGGATTATTTTTTACAACAAGTTTCATAAAGTTTAAATTAATAAGTAGTGTTTGAGTTTATTTTTGATTGTTAATTTGTTGTTTGTCGTTGATAAATTTTAAATTAATTAACGTTTGAGATTATTTTTGAATCATTTTATGAAAGATTCGCACTATTGTCAGTACTAAATAAAATTGTAATAAGTGATATAATACTTGTTTATTTTGGATAACGAAATTAAAGAATTAGTAAGATGCTTGGGAACCTCTTGATGCAACTCATTTTTTTTTCTCGAAAACTATCCGAGATCTGTTTTTATAGGGGTACAAAAAATGAAAAAAATAAAAAGGGCTGCTACATAAAAAGTTCAGAGTCGTCGGAAAGTTGTCAAAAAAGTTGCTATAATTCGTGTAGGACTATCACGTCTGAAAATATATCAAACGATGTGTTTTATGGTAAAACAAAGACCTTTTGGCCCTCTAACGGACAAACAACGCACTTTTACATAGAGGTAAATCTTGTCCAATCGACTTATTTTGCTTCTTCGTGGTACTTATATGTTCACGGAATATCGGGACAACCTGTATGTTTCGTGCTCTACAGTACGGATAGATTAATCAACCGGACCGGTACGGTGGGTGGTTTTCCTCAGATAGTAGGATCGAAAACATTCCTCTATCATTGTAAGTTTTTAAGGGAAACGTGAGGGGATATATGATGTGTGAAGTATGGCTAATAGGTGCATGTAATTACTTGGCTGGGGATATCAAAATATAAAACCAGTGTGAAAATTTCATACAAATCCGAACAGTACTTCCCAAGTTGCAGGCGGTACAAGGACTAGCAGACAGACAGACCGAAGGACATGAATTACATGGCTTTTCATGATGTACGTAAATTTCATGTAGTGTCCAAAAACATATCTCATTTTCGATTACAATACTTTCTTGCCCAATGGCATAGGAAGCAGGAAGAAAAAGATCGAACTATGCCGCCTTCTCAATTGAGAATGACATTCGACAACTCTCTTGTCACCTACATTTGTTACTTCTGCCAAGTCAAATGACGAGGCCTCAAGCGAAAGAATGTATGTGCATCACGCTCATGCCTCAACATAATTGATTACAAAATTATGTCTTGCTACTATAGAAACTGTGGATTTCCAAACAGTGTATTTTCTCAGATATTTTTCTGGGCCAGAACTTGCATTAACATGATCATATCGTATCCCAGTATCCAACCAAACGCGAGTCGAGAAACGTAATTCCGTTTAAGAAAATAGAAAACTGCCGGTGTAACGGAGTGTGAGTTTGAGATGGAACCGAGTAAGGGTAGAAGAGGAGTAAAAAGGGGATGAAAAGGGGAAGGGTGGGTCTTCTACTGGCGGTGATGTCTCTTCTGATGCATCGTATTGCAACACAAGTGGAAATCGTTCACTCGTAATGTGCTGCTTCGAACTTACTTCGAGAAGTTTCCTTTATATGTGAGCTATTCTCTTTGGTGCAAAGCCATGGGTGGCTCGTCAGTATTTTTCTAGGTTCCATTCGAAACCACTGAGAGCTTTGCTAACATTTCGAATGCCACTACAGACTTTTCACTTTCACGTTGTTAATAGTTTTTTCATTGACATTTAAATGATTTTAATTGACATTCCGTATAATTCTTAAAAAATGTATGTGTATTTACTTAGGCAAACCCATTGTGCTGTTTGTTTAATAAATCATTGCAGTCAAAACTGGCAAGGAAGTATTGTAATCGCGAAAAATTTCGAAATTGAGATATGTTTTTTGGATGTTATATCACGAAAAACCATGTCACTCATTTCGGTCGGTCTGTCTGTCGGTCTGTCCGCTTATTTATAACCGCCAGTGGTGGTTCAGCTAGAAGCAAAAACACGAAAAAAATAATAATCACTTAAGCTTCGTTTTTTGACGTTTTCTGATCATTTCCGAAAAACATTTTGTAGAGATTGAAACATGGGGGTTGTAGAGTGTAGGGGGTTGTAAGTGTAACGTCATTAGTATTATGTCAGACATTCTATCATTGAAACGCTTCTGATCCCGGTAACAACGAGGAAATTAAATAAGTCGTTACATTTATTTTCCGGAATCCGATACTTGAGGTTATGGTAAAAACGTCGTTAGCATATACAGGGTTATCCAAATTAAGTGTCCACCATTAGTAACTTTGTTATTAGTGAAAATACAAAGTTGTTTGAATTAGCAAACTAGTAGCATTTTTAACGCTGGTAAAAATGAGAAATAAAAAAAAACAATTGAGAGTCGTTATTTTGATTTTTTTCAGTAAAATAACATTTTTTTAAATGGAAACCCCTGTATATTATATTTTTTTCTGTTAAAGCATCAAATTTTAAACAAAAAAGCTTACAATAACTTTTCTCCTAGGTTACAAATTGTTGAAGTTATGGCCTCCAATCTGAAACAATTAAATTGTATCGACAAACTTTATTTTCAACATCAACTTATAATCTTACAAAATACAATAACAATTTTTTTTAAAGAAGATGCTCGAAAACACCACCTTGTTCTTCAATACATTTTTGGGCACGTTTTTCAACTGCTCGAACTGTCTTAAGTATGGTCCTACCATCTATCTGGGTTATCTTTTCCCTAACTGCAGTCTTTAACGCGTCAAGGTTATCGTACCTTCGCTTGTAAATTTGGTTCTTTAAGTAACCCCACAAGAAGTAATCAAGTGGGTTTAGATCTGGTGATCTGGGAGGCCACTGTATTGGGCCATTTGTTCCTATCCACTGATCATTAAAAGTAGTACTTAGAAAATGATAAGTACCTCTGGAGTTGTGGGCAGGTGCGCCATCTTGCTGAAAATGCAGATGATGTCTACTTATAAGATCCAATTCGTCTAAGAAATTAGTCAGAATTTCTGACATAAATTCCACATATCTTTCACCAGTTAGGGTTCCCTCATAAAAGAACGGGCCAACAATTTTTGAACCAATTATACCGCACCAAACGTTGAAACTGAAACGGACTTGTGGGCCTCTTGGATGTACTAACAAAAGATTTTCTCTTGACCAATAATGGTGGTTTTTTCTATTAAACATTCCAGAATTTGAAAAATTTGATTCATCTGTCCATAAAAGGTAACGAAAGTTATTTACATTTTGGCGACAGAAGCTAAGATACCAATGGCAAAAAACAAGTCTTCTCTCTGGATCCCCTGCCAAAAGCGTTTGAACTGGTCGGTACTTATACGGAATAAATTTGTATTTTTTTAAAATCCTTTGAACAGTACCATAACTGAAATTAGAGTCCTTGAGAATATCTGCTATTGAATTCTCACGATAAGCTTCAAAATATCCAATAACTGCAATTTCCGTGGCCTCGCTTATTATGAATTCTTTTTTGCCCTTGTTTTAGCAAAAACATTTTCGTTGCCCCTAAATTTTCGATAAAGTCTCAGAAAATATCGTTCATATGGTTGAATGCGAGCGGGATATAATTCACTGTAGTATCTTGCTCTCAAGGAGGATTTTCTGCACACTAAATAGCATTCTAACATATCACACTTTTCTTCATGGGAGAACATTTTTCTTTAAATTAATGACACAATAAAGCTTATAAACAAGTATTTACACTAATGTTTGACATTATTTGATTTTATCATTGTTTTCCAAAGCCTTCTAGTTGCGAGTATGTCCAGTTTAACAATTTGTCGCTTATCTTAATGCTGTCAAATCGCGAACGCCATGTTGTTTTCATAGCCGTCTTAATATTATAATACTGCAAATAATTAAAAATATTTATCGTTATTTTGACTTTATTTTTGACTTTAGCGGAAAAGTCATTATGAACTTTTTTGTTTAAAATTTGATGCTTTAACAGAAAAAAATATAATATACAGGGGTTTCCATTTAAAAAAATGTTATTTTACTGAAAAAAAATCAAAATAACGACTCTCAATTGTTTTTTTTATTTCTCATTTTTACCAGCGTTAAAAATGCTACTAGTTTGCTAATTCAAACAACTTTGTATTTTCACTAATAACAAAGTTACTAATGGTGGACACTTAATTTGGATAACCCTGTATGCTGCAAAATGGGCATCTGGATGCATACTGTCACACTGATTAACAAATAAAAGGAAAAAGATTAGCCCAAAAATAGAACCCTAGTGGGCCACAGTGTAACAGTTGCCTTTTATTGTAGATGAAACATATATTATTTTTTTTTTGGTTGTTTTCGCACAGGTTTAATTTAAAGTAATGCAGCAACAACTTGAGAAGGAAGAAACAAAAGCCGATAATCTAATCTAATAATCTCCCTAGGATATTATTTTTATTCATAGCATATTATTAAATCAATTTTATTGACAAAAATGACTAGACCAGCCCATTGGCCATTTCCCAAGATAGGGCTTGTTTTTAACGGTGTATTTAGCTATATTTTTCTCACGTAATTCATAACCAAAATAAATAACACGCAGACATTTACCTATTATCATGTTTATTTGAAATGACAAACATAACACATGAATACCACTGAATAACTATAATTTTTAATTTGTATCCGTTGTTTTTCTTCTGTAGTCGTTTGCCTGCCTGTATATAGTAGTCAGCATCTTCCATGTCACTGAACAATTTGGGAACTGAAACCAAATATTTCTCAGTCAATTAAACATAATCCATCCTGATCTATTTTATAATCCAAAAATTTCAATTATTAAGTTTAACGTACAGCAATCGCACTCTATTTTGCTCATCTTTACAGCTTCTACCACTAAGTTTATAAATGTGTAGTCAATTTTCCATGCATTCAGGTAATTAATTGAAGAATTTACTCACCCTGATATGGACAATTTCTTCTTGTGTTGCCTAGTTATTTCCCCAGTTCACAATGAGTAACTCGGTTGCTTCCATCCCATGCTAGATCTTCCACCGTCAAGAAATCAATTCAATCTCGAAATTTTCGCCTCGGGGATTTGTTTACATCCCAACAACATTCCGGTTTGTCACTCCGGAGCTAAAAATAAATAAATAAATAAATGTACATCTATAAATTGATATCACCTTCTGAATTAAAAACTATTTGTGTTGCATAAATATTATTACTCACCTATTGAACTATGTATTTCTTTTATAGTCAGATGAATTTATTATTGTTTTCTGAAATCTTCCAATGTCAAAGGCTGATGTCGCTGATGTCGAGGTACTATTCTGCGTACCGAACTACTTGCACACCTCGCTTGTTCCCCATAGTTGCCAATTTTATTTCAGAATTTCCTTATGTTTATTAATCAATCAAATTTATTTGCAGATATGACAGTGTTGCCACATTTATTCACGATATTTCCTTGAATTTATATTAGGAACCTTCTCATTTTGGGATTAGCCGACAACGTTTGGCTCTTAATGGTCAGGCGTACAACTATATTTGGAAATGTCAAGTCGAAAAAATTAAATTTTGGGATCGGACTTCCTTCCACTATCGGATAGCCATCTTGTTCTGTTCCGCTAGTGCCAGAAGACCTGAAATTTTCCTCTTTTTTTTGGCTGGGGCATCTTCGACGGATTGTGGAAGAAAATTTCATAGATAATTTCCTGGGTCATTCCTGTTGTGAGTGCGTAGCATCTTTTTTTTTTTCGTCTACCCTGGGACCCGAGAAAATTATACAATTTGTAGGATCTTATTGTCTTCAGCCGCACTTTTCGCCAGACGGAACCACGTGAAAAACCCTACCCGACATCATCTAGGGCTTTTATTTTGGGGGAATCTTCGCTACTGGAGATCCATTGACACGTTTTCTACCGGGGACCTCTTTCCGAACAGAGACCCTTTTTCCACCATAGGGATTCTTACGTCATCGGTTTTGAAGCCTTCCTCGCCCATTTTAAATTAGTTAGTCAATAAGCTTTCGCATTAAGGGAGATCTCCTAGTTTGGCTGGCTTAAATTTTTGCTGTTAGCCGTTAGTAGATGTAATAAAACGTATTGATGTTAATTTTAGCAATTATTTACCGACACAGAAAATCTATTGTTTGTATGTATTTTTGTTATTGTTTCTTGGGGTTTTGGGCTGAAGAGTGCCTTTCAACACCTAGGCGTCTTCCAGTTTTGGCGTATAAAAGCTGGTGGCGCCCCTAAAAAATACCCCCCCTACTCTCCGGTGTACCTGAGCATAGGGCCTAATTTGCCAACGCTAAACCACGTCTTTAGCCTCAGTAACCCCCTAGTTTTTTTTTAATCATCCATTTCCTCAATTGAGAGAAATAACTTTAGCTTAAAATTAAAAAGTGACTTTTAATTAAAAAAAAAGAGCGTGGCAACAGTCGGAATGTCTAGCGTACCTGATACAAGTTTTTCATTTTGTTTGTTGTACAGAAACATAATGCTTTCTTTGGATAAAAAAACGATCTAGCACATTTAAGAAACTGAACAACCCAGTCGAAGGGCCTACTGAGATCCCAAAGTTACAAAAAAAAATTCTGCTACACAAAATTAGGTCTAGTGACTGCTATTTGATGTTACTTTCACTATTGTGTATTAATAAAAACATTTTTGGATGGTAAGATAGCTCATGCGTGTCAGAAAGAACTACTTGATGTTCAAGATGGGATAGTACTACTGGATCTCGGAAACGGCCATGGATATACAGGGTGACTTCGAAGTTGAGTCATTTATTTTAACAGTGAGTAGATCTGATCAAAAGAAATGTTTTTTTCCTTTACCATTTTTCTGGTAAAATTAAAGTAACAAAGTTATAGCCCTTTATAAGTTTGAGTACCGCCCTGTCTCAATAATAATATTATGTGCTCGTGTTTGGCAACAACGGATATAATCCGCCTTATCGGTTCATCGCATCGGAAACAAAAAAGCGAAAGAATTTGGAACGATGTTTTTACAATTATTTTATTCAGTTGTATACAGTCAGTGTCAGTCGGTAACGCGTGAGTGAATAGTGATGTCTGTTGCGTGGCTCAAACGAAATCAAAAATGGTACATGTCTACGAAAATGCTGAACTTGTGGACATGATTCTTATTTACGCGGCATCACGGATTTATGCGGATCGGTTTCCCAATCGAGTGCAACCAACCCCTCGTGCCTTTGTTAATGTAGTACAAAGGGCTCGTGAATCAGGTGACTTAAGACCTCACAGGGGAGGGCATGCCGGTGCTCCAAGACCGCACGATCAAATACAGGTCCGCACTGAAGTACGTGTCGGGAGGATACTTTATAAAACAAGGTAACATTTTTTTTTTAATTTTTTTTTTATTTTTACACACATATTTTGGTTTATCTTCCTTCTACAATCATTATCTGAAAATTAATGACTCAACTTCAAAGTCACCCTGTATATATATATAACTTGAGACGTGGTCATTGTCGTCTAGATCAGTTAGGTGAAAAATTAAAGCTTCCGCCTTTTGTTGGGTACTTCGACAAAATTTAAGCAAAGAGGACTCTTTATACTTTTTTAATTCTCTCTAGCTTTCAATGGACTTTGCCATCATCATCAGAAGCTGCAATTACAATGATAACAGTAGCAACAAAAGTGTAAAATGAATTTAAATTGACTCAACTTACAGTAGTATGTGAGGATGTTGCTAATTGTTGTTTACGTATAGGATGAGGGAAACGTCCAGTAACATGGTGAGAGCTGGATAGATTGTACAATGGTCAAAATTATATAAAATATGACAAGAACAAGTTAAACACAGATTAAAAATTATTTAAAAAAGCATTAGAGCATTACATCGTGAAGCCACTTGATGATTGCACAAATTAGTGGTCATGGAATAATGAGTGAGATGAAACCCTTTGACAGAAGGCCGAAGGATGTCAATGTCTGTGTTGAAAGATGGAACGAATTGTGGGCGTGTGCCAAACGTTGCCAAATCACTTCAGATGATGTGATTTTCAGAATTTTATGTAAGAATTTGTTAAACCGACCAGAGGCAGTTGAATAAACTATATTTTAATTAATGGGAATTTAAATTAACAATTATTAATAAATCGTGAGAAGAGAATTATTATATTTTGAGTGGAATGAAATTTACTGGTGGAATCGGCCAAAGCACAGATTCTAATTATGGTTGTGAAGAGTCGAAATTTGGGGAGATATGTAAGTTCTCCAATTTTTCGCAGTTTAGCAAATATGAGTAAATGACACTCAGTTGTTTAACATCTGTCTTTTTGTTGATACAGTTGTTATTCATGAAGATGTGGGACATTTCCAGGAATAAACGTTTGGAAAGGTGTTTTTCTTTATCAAGAACTTTGATACTTGCGTAATTCATAGAATGCCCTGTTGTGTTAACATGAGATGCTAGAGCGCATCTTTCAGGATGAAGCCTAGCATCACTTTTGTGTGATGTAATCCTTCCTTTGAGAGATCTGGAGGTCTGACCTATGTATATTTGGTTGCAGTTGTTGCAATTGATGGAGTAGACTGTGTTGGTTAAGCCAAGCAGCGGGACTTTGTCTTTCATTTTTGAAAAAATGCAGTTTATAGTGAGGACGGATTTGCAAGCAATTCAAAAGTTCAAAGGACTGCACAATCTGATCAGCTTAGGGGTCAGTTCCTTGATATAGGGCAGGACAGCAAAACCAGGTCTGGAGTCCGGGTTGATGCTTGTACTGTTAGGATTGATGTTATTATTGGGAATTACATCAGTTCCGTTATTAGGGGTTGTGCGACTATTACCTGCATCACCAGAGTTCGGCAAAATATTGGAAGGTGAACTAAATAAGATCTTGTTAATCAGACACTTCGGATAACCATTATTGATCACCAATTTTGGCAGAATATGTCATGGATGATCTGCTTGATACTGTTATTCCGACACTACCCTACAACCTCTTCTTCATAAAAAAATACGTAGATGACATTATTTTATGCCTCCCTTCCATAGGTCTGGATGGTATTGTCAGAGAATTCAACAGCTATGACCCCTACATCCAATTTACCATTGAAAAAGAAGATGAGAACCTGTCTGTCCCCTTTCTAGACACAAGACTCATTCGCACCAACAACAACAGTTTATTGGTAGACTGGTACCAGAAACCTATGGCCTCAGGTCGGTTTCTCAATTTTAGGTCATACCATAAGCTAGGGATTAACATCAGTTTGGTAAAACAGATGAAAACAAGGGTAATCAGCATCTCAGATAATACCTTCCACACCTCAAATTTACGTGAAATATCAAAACTGTTCATCAATAATGGTTATCCGAAGTGTCTGATTAACAAGATCTTATTTAGTTCACCTTCCAATATTTTGCCGAACTCTGGTGATGCAGGTAATAGTCGCACAACCCCTAATAACGGAACTGATGTAATTCCCAATAATAACATCAATCCTAACAGTACAAGCATCAACCCGGACTCCAGACCTGGTTTTGCTGTCCTGCCCTATATCAAGGAACTGACCCCTAAGCTGATCAGATTGTGCAGTCCTTTGAACTTTCGAATTGCTTGCAAATCCGTCCTCACTATAAACTGCATTTTTTCAAAAATGAAAGACAAAGTCCCGCTGCTTGGCTTAACCAACACAGTCTACTCCATCAATTGCAACAACTGCAACCAAATATACATAGGTCAGATCTCTCAAAGGAAGGATTACATCACACAAAAGTGATGCTAGGCTTCATCCTGAAAGATGCGCTCTAGCATCTCATGTTAACACAACAGGGCATTCTATGAATTACACAAGTATCAAAGTTCTTGATAAAGAAAAACACCTTTCCAAACGTTTATTCCTGGAAATGTCCCACATCTTCATGAATAACAACTGTATCAACAAAAAGACAGATGTTAAACAACTGAGTGTCATTTACTCATATTTGCTAAACTGCGAAAAATTGGAGAACTTACATATCTCCCCAAATTTCGACTCTTCACAACCATAATTAGAATCTGTGTTTTGGCCGATTCCAGTAAATTTCATTCCACTCAAAATATAATAATTCTCTTCTCACGATTTATTAATAATTGTTAATTTAAATTCCCATTAATTAAAATAT